GCCTGAGAGATCCATAGAGGCTCTGGGGGGAGTGTAGCAGCAGAGGAGGAGTCTGCAGAGCCCTCCATATTCCCAGAACAACTTTTAAAAAAAGGGTGGTCCTGTGAGAAGATGCTTCTAAAACTCACCTGTATTGAGTTCCATCGTAGGTCTCTGGATCATCAGTCTGTGGATCCTGGTGCTTCAGGCAGTGTCCAGGCCGGCTTACTCTTCTAGAATGAGTTTTAGGCTAGACCAGTCATTGGTGCCACTCTCTCAATCTCTAGGTCACCCTTACCCCAGCACATCCTATAGGTAGGACAGACTGTAGGTTGAGGGTTATATGGTTGCGCAGATGCCTTGTACCAACCAGGCCTTTCCTTTTGGGCCACCAACTAGCTGCTAAATCATGACATGGGAGACTTCTTATTAGTTATAAATGCTTGGCAGAAATTAGTCTCATTTCTGGCTCACTTTCTTTAACTTAACCTGTTTCTCTTCATCTACGTTTTGCTTCTGGGCTTTTTCCATTTTCTTTCTGTATGTCCTACTCTGTATCTTCTGACTGGCAGCTGCCAGACTAGCCCCAGGCTTCTCCCTCTCTTTCTCCCTCATTCTCTCCTCCTTCTTCTCTCAAGCTGAGCCTAGATTTTTCCTATTTATTCTCTCTGCCCACTAGCCCTGCCTATCCCTTTCCTGCCAAGTTATTGGCCATTCAGCTTTTTATTAGCTCAACAAGGTGCCTTAGGCAGGCAAGGCAAAACAGCAACACATCATTTCATAATTAAGTAAATGCAGCACAAATAAACATAACAAGTTTACATCATTGACAAAGGCAGCAGAAACAAATGTAACACATCTTTGGCCAATTAAAATAAGATTCCACAACAGTGTCCCACTCTTTCCACTGGAAAATCTTGCCTGGTCATAGGAGATGGCAAGTTCAGGCTACATACCCACTATTGCTAGGAGTCTTAGCTGGAGGCCATCCTTGCAGATTCCTGGGAGATTCCCTTGCACCAAGTTTTTTACCTGACCCTGAAATGCCTCCCTTTCCAGTGGTTTCTTTTAGTACTCCCCCATTCTACCCTCCCCCAACCTAATTACTCCTGTTCCAGTCCCCACCTGCCTGCAGTCCACTCATGAAATCTCTATTTCCCCTTCCCGGGGAGATCTGGGCGTCCCCCCTTGAGCCCTTCTTTTTACTTGTCTCTCTGGGTCTGTGGATTATAGCATAGTTATCCTTTATTTTACAGCTAATATCCACTTATAAGTAAATACATACCATGTTTGTCTTTCTGGGCTACCTCACTCAATATGATTTTTTTTTCTACTTCCATCCATTTGCCTGAGAATTTCATGATGCCATTATTTTTAACAGCTGAGTAATGTGTAAATGTACCACATTTTCTTTATCTATTCCTGGGTTGAGGGGCATCTAGGTTGTTTCTAGGTTCTGGCTATTACAAATAAAGCTGCTACGAACATAACTGAGCAAGTGTCCTTGTGGTATGAATGAGCATCTTTTGGGTATATGCCCAAGAGTAGTATAGCTGGATGTTATGGTAGATTGATTTCCAGTTTCTAAGAAACTGCCATACTGACTTCCAAAGTGGCTGTACAAGTTTGCACTCCCATTAGCAATAGAGGAGTGTTCTCCTTGCTTGGTATCCTCTCCAGTATGAGCTGTCATTTGTGTTTTTGATCTTAGGCATTGTGATAGCTATAAGATGAAATCTCACAGTCATTTTGATTTGTATTTCCCTGATGGCTAAGGATGTTGAAGATTTCTTTAAGTACTTCTCATCCATTTGACATTCTTCTGTTGAGAATTATCTGTTTAGATCTGTACCCCATTTTTAATTGGATTAAAAATATCAGTATAATGATGTCTAACAATACTCTGTTATACTCATAGAGCAGTACCTATCCCATGGTCATCAGAGAAGCCTCACCCAGCAACTAATGGAAACAAATGCAGATCCACTGTGTCTTAGTTTCTTTTCAGTTGCTGTGGCAAAACAGCATGCCCAAGGCAACCTACAGGAGAGTTTATTGGGGACTTGCAGTTTCAGAGAGTCGTAGCCCATGACCCACCATTATGGTAGGAAACATGTCAGGCATGCAGGCATGGTACTGAAGCAGTAGTAGCTAAGAGCTTACATCTTGATCCACAAGCACAAGATGAAAGAGAAAAAGGAGAGAGAGAGAGAGAGAGAGAGAGAGAGAGAGAGAGAGAGAGAGAGAGAGAGAGCTAACTGGGAATGGCTTGGGCTTTTGAAACCTCAAAGCCAGCCTCCAGTGACACACTTCTCTCAACAGGGCCACACCTCCTAACCCTGTCAAAACAGTTCTTCCAGTTGGAAACCAAGCATTTAGACCTATGAACCTTTAGGGGCCATTCTCATTAAAACCACCAAAAACTGTCATAAAGTTTTTGGTCAGGTAGTGGTAGCAAACACTTTTAATCCCAGAACTCAGGAAGTAGAGGCAGGCAGATCTCTGAGTTTGAGGCCAGCCTGGTGTACAGAGCAAGTTCCAGTTCAGCCAGGGCTGCTACACAGAGAAATCCTGTCTCAAAAACAAAAACAAATAAAATAAAAAGTGAAAACTTGACCCTTCATTGAATTTTAGTCTGTCAAAACATACATTCTGAAATAAAATTAATTCCAACTAAAGTGGTTCTGAAAGTTGGAAATAATTTTATTTCAGCTGCTGGCAATCAGTCAGTTGCTTTTGACCTCCCCAAAGGAAAAAAACAAGTCGCATAAAGCTATATATTTCTCAAACTCCTAATTAAAAGGAATTGCAAGGTTGTTAATAAAATATAGAACATAGCTATGCATAATATTAACCTCATTGTAGGCTTCCTAACATAGTCAAAGCATTAAATTACAAGGAATTTAGTAATGTGGGACAAAAACAGTCTGAAAGCACCGCCAAAAGCCTTCACTACAAGCTTGGCATTTGGGATTTTAGAGTGAATGCTGTTTCTTCAGTATGAAGCTACTTTTCTAACATATGTGTCCCTCATTTCAAGTTTAATGTTTCATTTCTTCTTGACTTTAGATCTGTTCTTTAGAACAAAATAAAAGTTTTAGAACAAAATAAAGTTTTAGAACAAAATTAAAGTTTTTTGTTTTAAATTCTCCTCAGCTTTATTTTCTCCAAAGACTGAGACTTTAAAAGTCATCTTTAGTAACTGTCAACCTGGAAGTCTCATTAAACTGCTGCTCAAACTGTAAATTGTTAAACTTCTTGGAGGAAAATTTTGCATTAACCAAAAATTTAAAATGCAAAACTCTAGCCTATTCAACAAATATATGAAGTGATTAAGAATTTAAGATTATGTACTGAACAATAATTAAAGGAAGCAAATCAAAAACAGGCTAAATGCTCATTAATAGAAGCCTTAGGTAATTTTACTGTATACATACTCTAAAAATATGAGACAGTTCTTTATGTACTAAGGTAAGAAACTCTGTGCCTGGCACACTGGTATACACCTGCAACCTTAACTACTTCAGAAGCCAAAACAAGAGAAACACAAGTTTGAAGCCAGGCTTGACACTTAAAGAACCCTTTCTATAAAATAAAAAATAAATAAATAAATAAATAAATAAAATGTCTTGATTATGGACAAAGGGAGAGCGGGAATACAGCACTGTGGAGAAGCAATGACTCAGCACATGCCAAAAAAGAAAACAAAATCTTCACATACACCATATGAAAATGAGATGCATAGAATGGCAAAGCAGAATGTTACCATTTATGTAAAAACATAGAGGAAAGAAGCCAGGAAAAAGCACATGCCTTTAAGCCTAACACTCAGAAGGCAGAGGCAAGCAGATCTCTGAGTTTGAGGTGAGCATGGTCTATAGAGCAAGTACCAGGACAGCCAGTGCAACATAAACAAATGTGATTATATATATGTATATATATATATATATATATATATATGTATATATATAATCACATTTGTTTATACTATATTATTATTTAAATCTCTGGCATGCACAGAAAAGCAAAAATGATAGCTAAGATGTTGAGTGATAATTCTGGTGTCACAGCTGCCTGCTTCCTTCTGAGGGCCCAGCAGACTTGGTCTGAAGAAAAGTAATAATTCTGCCTGCCTGGTGGCAGACGCCGTTAATCCCAGCACGTGGGAGACAGAGGCAAGTTTGGTCTACACAGTGAGTTCCAGGGCAACCAGAGTTACACACTGAGACTGTCTCAAAAAATAAATAAATTCAATGGATTTTTTTAAGTGGGGAGAGAACATGAAATTGAGTGGGTAGAGAGGTAGGGGAGATCTGGGGGGAGTTGAGGGGTAATGAATGGATTGAAATTATATGAAAATTTAAAGAATTAAAAATATTTTTTAATTTATGGTAAAATACACATAAAAATAAAATATGCCACATTACCCATCTCTAACAATATAGTTTGATGTTATCTTTTCACAGAATTCATTTTACTAACTGAAATTCATTAACCATTAACCCATAATTTTCCATTTTCCTCATAGGCCCCGCTGACCACTATTCTTACTTCCTATCTATATGAATCTTACAACTACTTTCCTCCATATAAGCAGAATCAAATGGTGTCTGTCCAGTGTTCTCAAGGTTCATCTGTGGGTAGCATTTCCTTCCTCTTTATCCATTACATATATGTACAAGCATAATGTGCATGTATGTGTGCATATATGTATGTGTGTGTAAATGCACACCACATTATCTCTTCATCCACCGATGAACATGAGGGCTACTTTTGTCTTTTGCTAGTTATGAACAAATTTTGATTGTGGTTTACAAATATCTTATCAAGGTCTTGCTTTTGACCCCCTTGAGTACACATCCATGAGCAGAACTGCTAGATCATATAGTAATTATATTTTTTTGCTGTTTTACTAATTATTTTATAACCACAAACTCGTACAGAGGATGATGCCCTGTACAGAACACAACAGATTCAAACGAGGTGTTCCCTTAGCAAGGCTGAAGAGTCAGTCTCTGGTATTTGGAATTTAGGATGCAGTCCTTGTTTTTGGATGGATCACTGGGTGTTTGGCACAGTCCATGCTTTTAACCAGATTTGAACAGAAGAATGGCCACCTGACCCAGGTAGAAGTAGATGAAGTGTTTGGTGTCATGTGTCACATAACTACCGAAGTTCCGCCCCACAATGTAGTGCCAAGTGGGGTTGTACTTCTTGTCAAACTCCTTCTTGATGTGGGCCGCAATATCCATTTCTATGTTGTACTTCTCCAATGTCTGAGTAGTGTACTCCACCGAGTCCTGTTGCATCTCTTCCGATATGTCTGCATTTTTGTTCACCGCCTTCGGGTCACACATGGTTGCGGTGGAGCAGGAGCCAGACGGCTGCTGCGAGCTCCGGAAGAAGGTGGCGGCGCCGCTCAGGCAGCAGAGAAGAGCCGGTCGCTACCGAAGCCGTGACACATCTCTAGTAATTATATTTTTAATACTTTTAATAAGGCCATACTGGGGCTGGAGAGATAGCTCAGTGGTTAAGAACACTGACTGCTCTTCCAGAGGTCCTGAGTTCAATGCCTAGCACCCCCACATTGTAGCTCACACCCATCTAAAACAGTAGTCCCATTGGATCCAATGCTCTCTTCTGGAGTGAAGATGTACATGCAAACTGACATCCATATGCATAAAACACATAAATAAATCTTTAGGACTAGGTGTGACGCAAGAGGCAGAGGCAAGCAGATCTCTGTGAGTTTGAGGCCAGCCTGAACACAGTTTCAGGTCAGCAACAACATATTATTGTGTATAGTGGCTACACTATTTCATATTACTACCTATAGCACACACAAAGTTAGCAATTTCTGTACATCTTTGCCAACTCTAGTGATTTTCTATTGTGTTGATAATCATCATTCCATTGACATCACTATGATTTTGATTTTTAATGTCCTTAATAGCATTTCCAATGGTTTTATCAAAAGAACATACATGCTAATATATAGAGTTCCTATTAGCCAAATATGAGATACTTTAGTCATAAAAATAAGTAACTAAAACTGACTAATGTACACTAAGTAAATGCTCTGAGTTTGTACATTGAAAATAAAATACCATCACACTGAGCCCCAGTGAAGATAACAAGAGCACACATTTCTCTATAAAAATCGTAGTTAAAAAGCAAAAACTAAGTATCTGTTCTGCTTGTCCCATAACAATATATACTTTAGGACAAATTAACATTCCTAGTTGATGGAAGAAAGTTCTTTGTCAAAGAATGTTAGGAATTGGCCATTGTGACATATATCTACAACCACAGGACTCAAGGAGCAGAGGTAGAAGAATCCAGAGTTTAAGGCCAGTCTGGGATAAATAAATAAAATATTGGCTAATAAACAAGAAAAAGGGAATAATAGATAACATAAGAAAATCAACATTTTGCAAAGCCTGGTGAAATAACTGCTTCTGAAGACATCCATAAATGACTGAATCCATTAGATAAATGCTAACTAATAAGGAACTGGTACAATGGAGATTACATTGTCATCACTTGAACCAACTGCTGCCTAAGAGTAGAACAAGCAAACACTTCATACTGCCTAATGTGATGTGATACAACATTGAGCACATGCCACTTTTTAGGAACTGTCCATGCCCCAAACACTGGACTCAAAGCCAACTAAGACCCTACAGCAAGACTATCTAATAACAGTGCTACTGCTGCTGTATTTAGCGGTACCAATTTATAATGTAAAATTCAACTTTTCCATTATAGTAGCCCTATTCCAAAGGGCTCAAAAGCCACAAGTAGTCATTAGACAATGCAGATAAAGAACATTTTATCTGCATTTACATTTACATAATTGCAAAAATTCCATTTCACACTGCTTCTCTGTAGCTAAATTCCATTTACAAGAACTTTGAAGGACTAAGCACAACCTACAGAACACAAGGCAGTAACAGGAAGAGAAGTAACAGGAAGAGAAAATGAGAGAAGGAGGAAACAACACTAGGTTTAAAAAAATTAAAATACACGATGTCCAAAAAGGAAGTTTTATGCAAATAGGAAGCAAATCGGGGGCCATAAGATGGCTCAGTCTATGAAGTGCTTGCTGTTGCTATGCAAATGTGAGGGTCAGAGTTCAGATTCATAGAACTCATGTGAAAGCTGAGGAAGCATGGGGGCCTACTTAGACAGGCTTTAAACCAGCAAGTTTCAGGCTCAGTAAAAGACTCTCCCTCAGTGTATAAGATAGAGAGCCATCAAGGAAGATACATGATGTTGACCTCCAGCCTCTAGAGGTACGTGTGCACACACACTTGAGCCCACACATGTGAAAACAAATACTACGAATACAAGTCTATACATACTACACAATGGGGGAGCAAGCAAATCAACGGTTGCCTAAGTGTAGAGGAAGGAGTGAGTATTGAATAGAGATAGGCTGGAGGGGATTTAGGGTGGTGATGGGAATGGCTGAAAAATACAGGGGCTAGGGGAGACAATTCAGTTGGTAATGAGTTTGCCATGAAACCATGAGGATCTGAGTTTGAACTCCAGAACTCATAAAAATCTGCCCACTGTGGCATGCATTTGTAATTCAAGTGCTGGAGAAGTGAAAACAGGTGGATCATGAGCTCACTGGCAAGCCGGCCTAGACAAACTGGTGAGCCTTGGTGCCAGATAGACCCTGTCTCATAAAACAACATGGAGTGCTCCGAAGGAATTACATTGCAAGGTGACTGACACTGTCTTCACACACACACACACACACACACACACACACACACACACAGTGGTGACAGTAACCCAATTCTGCCAGTTTACTAAAATCACAAATTTGTCTTACAAAGACAGAGGACAGAATTGTAAAATGTGGATTGTGTTTGTGCCAGATTCTCTAATTCTAAAACGATCCTTCTAAATAGTCCAAGAAAGCAATTGTGTATCAGATGATAATAAAATGATCTTATTGGAAACAAATGACATGTTTGTTCATGGTTCTATAGGTGCTGCTAAGACATAGACTATCCCAGACATACTTCAATTACTGCAGCAGAGGAATGCAGAGCAGCAAGTGAGCATCATTGTGATAACCATTGCACCTGGCTGATATGGGAACTCATAATATTTACTCTGAATTTCTGCATGATTTTTTCTATGATTAAAAAGTCAGTGGCTACTGTGATACTCATAAATCCAGTCAACACTGATTTCTGTTATTTCCCAAAATTGCCAACAAGTAATATATCACATGACCATTTTAACTATGCTTCCATTTTCAATTAAGTCTCAAAGTAAAAGTGAAATTTTTACCTTTAAGTCACCATTTGAAACTTAAAAATATAAATCTTAAATATTTTAATCTTCCCTGTCTTTGGTGTTCCTTTGTGGGGTTTTCCTTCCCTACTAGCTCAATATAATTGGTGTTCATTACTCACTTTATGCTGCATAGGTCTTGAAGTAAATTCTTCAGGGTCCATCTATGTTAAACATGCCTGGCACCAGTGCAAGACATACAGGCCTTTCCAACTGATTTTCTTTATGTACATCTGCAGGCTTACCATACACATCTCCATAAGGACTCCAAAACCATGATCTGATTATAACTAACGCAGCAGCGCATTTGACAGTACCCACAAGGTTTTGATGTATAACCTGCTTTAAGATCTCTAGGAAGCTAAGGGTGCCATAAGGAGAAAGTGAGGGTAATTGCACTTCAGTCTTAGAAAAGCTAAAAGTGGTAGGCAGTTGTTTTCCTAAAACAGCAAAACATTGCTGAAGCAAAATTAGAGTGTGCATGTGTCTGTGTTACAAACATGCAGATGACATGTGTTCAGTCCCCAGCACCCACATAGCAGCTCATAGCCACCTGTGGCTCCAGATCCAGGGGTTCTGACACTTTCTTCTGGCCTCTGCCAGCACTAGGCACATAGACATGCATATAGGCAAAATAGCCATACACATAAAATAAAAATATTATATCTTTTTAAAAATAAATAGTGACTTGGATACTTGTATTTATAAGTGTGTGTGTGTGTGTGTGAGAGAGAGAGAGATAAAGAGAGAAAGAGAGACAGACAGAGACAGAGACAGACACAGAGAGAGAGAGAGACAGAGACAGACACACACACTATATACAAGAAGAACAATTATCAGGTAAGAATTATATTTGCAATGTCCAATCCATTTGTATTTGGCATATTTGGGGAAAATACTCCATTATTTATTCTATCTTGATGTGTCCAAAGCTCTGTAACTAATTTACCTTCTATCATAACTAAGGAAAACTGCAGCTATAACTACCTAGTCTTCAACTCCATCAAAGACACCAGAAGAATATAATGTTACCTGAATAAACAGGAAGTACAGTGCAAGCAACTTCCAAAACTCTAGAAATAACAGAGACATCTGGCTGCCTGGACAGTCACCATTGCATTTCCTCTGCAATGTTGGGGCATCCAAACTTCAGCCTACAGGCCTAGAATATTTGGCAGACTCTTCTGTGAAGCAGGAAGTACTGCCCTGTTTTGTTTTGGTAAAGTACAGCAATCACTTTCCTATGTGTCCTACAGAATGTCTAGCCGGCTTCCATGAAGCAGGAATTTTGAAGGATTTCCCTGCCTTGTCTTGGCAAAGTTCAACAGTCTTTTTCCTTTGTGTCCTGTTTGTCCAGTTTGTACAACACATTGACAGCAGTCAAGACAAGACCAGTTTCTTGTCCAAATGGCTAGTTTTGCCACATTGAAAGCAAACTCCGTATGGAGTTTCTTCAATGCCCATCATCTTCTCTAGAGTAAATTGGTGCTGTCAGGAGCAGTCCTCTCTCATTGTTATGAAAAGCCCTATGCCAATAAAACATTTTAAATGACATATTCTGTAAGTCTTTGAAGTATTTAATCTATCTAAAATACATTTCTGTTTGACCTTGAAAACATACTTAACATGACTACAAGTTTGATTGTTATAGGTGACTAACTACTAACCTATATTTCTTTATTTTCCTAAATAGTTTGCAATAATAGCTTTCAAGGTCTAGAATTTTACATTACATTGTTAAATGAGATGCCTGGGTACAATACCTTAAATGGGAAATAGAAACATATAATACAGTATAACAAAAATAACCTTCCCAATATACAAAAATATCTTATAAAAAGAGTAGAAACATATATACAGTATAACAAAAATAACTTTATATTTGTATCAATATATAAAAATCCATACCAAAGTAAAGTATTTGAGACTAGTAGTTTTCATGGTTTGAAACAGATATAATAATCTACTGTACAATATATCATTTCTATACTCCTTTTTCCTTTCAAAAGGAGATCTCTGACTCTAATCTCCTTGTTTAGCTTTC